TATATATATATAAGTATATATTATTCAGGAGGAGGAGGAGGAGGCGTGTGGACCCCCTGACGCAGAGAAAGGCCCATGTTTATGTCTCTAAATCAACAAATACACTGATTGAGCTCCTTTTTATTTTACTATATACACTTCTAGCTGCCTGTGTGATTTGTTTGCCTTTCGATTAATCAGTAAATGTGATCCAAGGCCTGTTTTGCAGAATCACTTCCCCCCCCCCCGGCATTTTGTTTTTTTTGTTAGATTTGTCTGTAATTATCATATTTTCCCTGCTTGGATATTTCCTGTCTTTTCCTCCAGACACACGCCTGATTCGGTGGTTGCTCCTCTCCCGGGAGACAACGTGCAGATAGTGTGAGAGTAAAAAGCTTGGAGATGTGAGGATTAAGCTTATGTAACGGCCTCTGTTAGCCGGTATAAATAGCACACAGTCCTGCAGAGGGAAAAGGGCAGCTGCTGTAGTAGTTGTGAAGGTAAAACTGAATGGAAATAATGTGTTGTGGGTGTTTCCTGTGCAGACATTATGATCACGGCATTCACTGCTTCACACTAGTCAAAGGTCTGTTTTTTTATTGTGTCACATGGAGTAGGTAGTTAACGCAGGACTGTGGCGGAGTCTCACTTTCCGTCTGGTCAGAGATAAAGTTAGGCCAAGTCATGGTCATGTGGACTGGTCACGCTGGCATAACGAACTTCCCTTTGTGTGCTGTCTCATTCCCCTAACACCTCTCTCTCTCTCCACCCCAAAATATCTTTTCCAGGCCCTCAACAGGGGCATAGCCACAGTCAAAGAGGATGCAGTGGAAATGCTGGCCAGCTACGGTCTGGCCTACTCCCTGATGAAGTTCTTCACCGGGCCCATGAGCGACTTCAAGAATGTGGGTTTGGTGTTTGTCAACAGCAGGAGGGACCGGAGGAAGGCCGTGTTCTGCATGGTGACAGCCGGGGCCATCGCGTTCGTCCTTCACATCTTGATAGGTGTGTGTGTGTGTGTGTGTGTGTGTGTGTGTTTTTTAAAGGGGTTGTTTGTGCACACGTGATGACATACTTTGCTTAAACCGCATCCTGTGAAAGTGACGTTTTTTTGGTATTTGCGGCGAACCCTAAAGTTTCATTATCGCAACACCCTCCGGCGGCTTTCTTTCTGGTCACAATGCCTGCGAAGAAAGGGTAGAAATTATCTCCTTAACCTCGACTCACCTGTGGTTTCCTCCTCTTTTTTTTCTTCTCCCCCTGTAGCTTACACAGATTTAGGATACTACATCATTAATAAGCTCCACCATGTGGATGAATCTGTGGGGCACAAGACAAGAAGGGCTTTCTTATACCTGGCTGCGTTCCCTTTGTTGGATGCAATGGTGAGTGTGCATTATAAGCGAGATCATTCTACATTTTATCGTGGATTTAACCACGTCTGACCTCTAAATAACTGGTTTTAATCCTCCGTCCATGCTGGTTTCAAGTGATGTTGTATTCCCTGCATTACTGTCTGTCTCTCCTCCGTTATATATTCTGTCTGTCTGCCAGCTGTGGTTGACACAATTGCCGAAATAGAGCTTTTGTTTTTTAGTTTGAAGCTTGGTGTCTTGGCGTAACGTCCCTGTCCATTGTTCTGTTTGAAGGCATGGATTCATGCAGGGATACTTCTCAAGCACAAGTACAGCGTCATAGTCGGCTCAGCCTCAATCTCCGATGTTGTGGCCCAGGTAATTATCCTTTATTTTAATCTAAAGCAGATATTTGAAGGTTTTAATTCATTTTGTATGCGAGCTTTGTCGTCTGATTTTGTTTTTTTTAATCGCTGTTCTTTCCTGCAGATTGTGTTCGTGGCCATTCTCCTCCACAGTAACCTAGAATGTGTGGAGCCTTTACTCATCCCAATCCTTTCCCTGTATATGGGTGCCTTGGTCCGTTTCAGCATCGTCGGTCTGGGTTACTACTGTAACGTCCACGACAGCATCCCAGACTCCAGTGGGCTTGATGTGGGGGTAAGAGCTCCTTTAATTCATTGTTTAACTGTCTTCTGTGAGGAAAAATATGAGAAATGAATGAAGGATATGGTCTTCCACTGGTGTTTATACATGATCTATTTGACCTGCCTGAACCTAAAAGAACCAATGGGCTTGGATGGTGAATTTTGTAAAAACAGAAAGAGGATATAAGCTTATCTTTTCTGAAACAAGAGGGATTTATTGGACGTGTCTTTGATCCCTGCAGGGCGACGCCACTATCAAAAAGATGCTGAGTTTCTGGTGGCCCCTGGCCCTCATCTTGGCCACTCAGCGCATCAGCCGACCCATCGTCAACCTCTTTGTGTCTCGTGACCTCAAGGGGACCTCTGATGCTACAGAGGTGGGTGTATAAAGAGTTTAATCCACCATCTGAACTGGTCTTCTACAGAGTATTTTACTGTCATTTCTCATTGTGACTAAGAAGAATTCAGGTTTTTTTTTTTTAACATTTAATCCGTATGTCACTAATAAAGCTGCCACAGATGACTTAACTGTAATACTAGTATAATTATAGGTTATTTTTACGGTATAGTGTCATTAAGAGGCTACGTGAAGCCAGTTTTCACCCAAGTTATTGCAGATGAAATGCCAGATGCTAACAAACTCCCTCTGGAGCTTTCTGGCTTATAGAGACCCTAACTACTAGAGACAATACAAAGCTGTTTACCAGAATGAACTGGAAATCATTGACAACACTGGCTGCCAGTGGTTTGGGTGATTCACCATGTTCATGTGAAACTCAGGGCATGATTACACTGGGTGAAAACATTCCTACATGGCCCTACTGTTCCTGCGTAAAGCCTGACACTGCCCGTTGTTGTTTGTGGGACACAATAACAAGCTCAAGGCCGTTTATCCAATCATAAACTTGTGAAAAACCGCGCACTGCTGGGAAAGTGATTGACACACGTGTTGCTTTCATGTTTGCTATTGTTAGACACCTGTCATTAATTTAGCTGCGTGTGGTATTTTCAACATTAAAGCGGTGCAGTGCTGATGACTTATAGCTGCCCTGTCTTTGTCATTCCAGGCCGTGGCTGTCCTCACAGCCACATACCCTGTGGGTCACATGCCCTACGGTTGGTTAACCGAACTTAGAGCAGTGTACCCTGCCTTTGACAAGGTAATCCAGACTCCCCCTGCTGCAGTGGTAACAGTTTACTGTACATGGGTTTGTTTATGCCCCTAATGTTGCTCTCTTACCAACAGAACAATCCCAGTAACAAGATGAACGCTGGCACCCCTGTCACCAAGTCACATATTAAAAAGTTTACATTCTGCTGTCTGGCTCTATCACTCACGGTAAGATGAGGGTGGATTTTTCTTTTCTTTTTCAGTCACATAATTCGACCTTCTGAAAGGAGGTGTGGTTAACGGTTTGTTATTGTGGTCTGTGCTGAAACAATCCTTAACTTCTGGCTGGAATTTATGATATGAAGTTGATGAGGTTTGGAGCTGAAATAATCAGGCAGTCAGAACAGAAAAGTAATCTGCAACTATTTTGATAATCATTTTGTAGCTTTAGTCAATTATTAAGCAAAACTATCAAACTTTTATCACATTTTTGTTCTAGCTTCTCAAATGTGAGCTTTTATCTTTATGTCATTATAAATTCAATTAAAGATTTAATATATTTGGGATTTGGACCATTGGTCAGACAAAATAAGCAATTTGAAGTCATCTAATTTGGCACTGAGGAACTGAGGCATTTTTGACTATATTCTGATGTATTATTGTTTAAACAATGTATTATAAGTTTAAGTTGCAGCCCTTTGGTAGTTTTTCAGGTATTGCTGTAATGTAGACAGTGTTACAGACCCACCTTGGTAATTGATACTGCTAGCTTGAAGTTCAGTATTCATTTTCATAATGGGCTGAGCTGGGCCTATACTTGCAGAGTATTTGTTTACAGCCTAAGGTGTCCTTTGCTGAGACTTGACCTCTCCTATAGTAGCTATCTGTTGTCCTACCATGGTGCTACAACAACCTCATATCAAGTCGTTTCTCTTTCAGAAATGCATTGAAATTGCCTAATTATACTGAACACACCCATGTATTTTTGATAGCAAATGCATTATGGCTTGTCTTTGTGGGGGTTGGACATCCATTTTTACACATGCTGTTGATATTAGATTTAGTGCAACACAAGATAAATAATGTAAAAACACACGACTAACATGCAGACTGTCTTCCCCAAAACACTTTGGCTGTTTACCTTTTTCTAATCCTACTGTTCCGCAGATTTGAAGATACTGTGTGTCGGTCAGGGTTCAGCTCCAAGACTGACATAACCTGTCCAGTGTTATGCAGAAACATGTTTGACAATGTGTTATGTAAAGCTTGCTAGAGGCTATGCTGTCAGCTGCTTTCCACTAACTAATCTTTAAACCGGACTGCTCTCTCAGAAACAAATAGAAACATTAGAAGTTCCTAAAAGGTCAAACATTCAGCATGCTGGTCCAGCTATACACTACTGTTCAAAGTGATGGGGGTTCCCAACTTAGTTCCTGGTGTACTGAATGTACTTTTCTTTCGCCGTCCTGTCGTGGTTTCAGGTTGCAGGGAGGGAGACACATTAGGGTGGAATTTGTGAAGAGGCTAAGGAGCTTTTGTGTCCCCCCAACACTCCCACCCAAGCTTTAACAGCTTAATAAAACAGGCATTCACATAAAACATATCAGTTAACGCATTCCAAAAGCCCCTCGCAGGTGAACTTATCTGCTAAGTAATGAATGCTGCAGTCACATCATGCACGGTGCTGCAGAGGGTTTTTGTTTTTCAGCAAACCGTGTGGATCATAAAGTGTTCTTGCTGATCTGCTGGCATAATTATCCAGTCTCTCTGATCATATTTGCCTTCTAATCAACGTTAATACAATGATGCAAAGTGAATTTCTGTTAAGAAGGAGCCTTTGCCCCGGTTAGTTGTCTTAAAAGCTCGGATAAGAAAAACAGGAAGTTTGTGGCCAAGGTTGGGTCTTTTAGGAGGAGGAGGAGGAGAAGGAGGAGTAGGAAGAGAAGGAAGAGAATGGCACACCAGATGTGGAATCCCAGTGCTGTAAACATGTATGTGAGGGTGTGTTCGACACAGCACAACAGGCACATAGGTACGTCCTGTAGCGGTGTTGAAAACACAAGCTGACAGCCAGCATGCCAGGGCTTGTTCTGATTACAGATGAAGGACAGCAGAATGAAAAACAGCAGAGGAGGTAGACAGAGTGCATTTGGGAAAGGAACTGAGTTATGTTCTGTAACAAATAATTTCCTTTTATGAAAACGGACTGTGTTTAGGATGTCGAGACAGTGAGTGTGGATGTGTCACCTTGTTTAGAGAAACCACAGCTGAGTCAGGGGAGACGGTGGTTTCGGTCGAGCCACACAAATTAGTTATTATGTTCCTCCATCTTGCTAAAGTAATGATAGCTGGTAAGGTGATACCAAATGAAATCATCATTTGCAAGTAATCTCTTCCTATATTTTGGTTTAGGGGATCAAAAACCACAGAACCACATCAAAAGCTTTTGAGCAATTCATCCTTTCCTGCTACATATGTAAATCTTGAGAGAGATGGTGAGATGTTTATAGAATAACTCTGGACATTTTTTGTTTCAGTTTTCTTTTCTCCTCCCTTCTCTTAACATAAAGTATGACTAAGTACCGGCAGCATAAAATAATTTTAAATGTATTCATTTTGCAGACGCTTTTGTCCAAACAAATGAGATACAGTCCAAGCCACAGTAGATCAAGGAGAAGCCTCAGAGAATGCAGCAACACTAATTTCCACGTTCCATCCGATACAAGTGCCACAAGGTTAGAAGGTAAATAGAGAAAGATAAAGCTGAGAAGCATATTATGTGAGAAAGTATCCTTGAAATTTTGAAGACAGACAGAGATTCTGCTTACCGAATTGTGTTTGGTAACTTGTTCCATCGCAGAGGGACCATACAGGAAAAGAGTTTGAATTGAGATTTACTGCTTAGTGAACGAGGAGGCTCAAAAACCTGAATTTGGGAGCGACAGGGAGCCAGTGGAGGGTAATGAAAAACCTGTAGTGATAAGCTGTTGGTTGGATGACATTTTAGACCATTTGCAGAGGTTTTGCTGTACATAAAGGGCATTGAAGTAGTCAAGGCGAGAGATGAGCAGTGCCTCTAACATAGAGAGTGCGTCCGGAGGGGCCATACGTCAGTCCGAGGATAGGACGCTGGATGGCTTGCCTGGATTGGGTCGGATGTGATAGTTGAAGGCAGAGGTGGTGAGTGCTGGGAGTGTGACTTAATGTTTTTGTTTGTGTCTTGTTCTATTCGATTTAGTTTGTTATGTCCATTGGTATTTTCTTGCAGTTATTATTTTTGTTTATTTTGTTTTTTTTATTTTTTTGTCTTATTATTTGTGATCTCTGGGGGTGGCCGGATTGAGCTAATTGAGTTGGGGCTGCGACGGAGTCGATAGGGCTGGCTGAGGGATCACTTTTGTTTTATATTTATTTTTTATTAGGCTTTAGACGGATTGAGTGCAAGCGTTGGCCTGAGAATTCGGTGCTGGGGGTTACAGACAGTGTATGGCCGTGGGCAGATTGACAGAGCCTGAAAGCTGCTATCACTTCCAGCCCCCCAGTAGCAACAAAACAACATCGCTTCAAAGGGTAAGTTGAACCAAGGGGGGACTGTGGACAGTGGGTCGGGAGGGATGGGTTACTTGAGGTGCAGAGGCTTTATAGTTAAAGGGAAGACTGTGTGTGGTGGTATAAGAGCAGAAAGGATTGCAGGGGACTAGCGCGTGACCTGTGGTGGCGGGGGGGGGGTATCCCAGTATGAAAGCAAGTGTTGCAGTCTTTCCTTGCCATGTCACTTTAAAGGAGCACTGTGAGGTAGGAACTCAAACCAGATACATCTAGATAGTGTTCAGACTGGATGATTTGATGGTTTACAGTGCCAGAGACTGCTGACGGGTCCAACAAAAAGAAACCTCAGGGTTCAAAGTAGAACTTTGCATAGGAAAGATAGTAGTGAGACTGCAGTTTTCAACTTGAACTTGAACTTGGGTTCAGGATTGGTTACTATGTAACCTCGGCCAGTTTTTAGTGATGGAAGACAACACCGTGTCCAACTCATCAACAAAATTGCCCAACTGTCTTTGTGGAGAGTCGGTAACAATAAAACAGGTTGAGACTGCAGCGACTTGCAAGGTATTCAAATCAGGAATGGTTTCATAGAGGAGAAGCAGTAAACATGATTGGTGTGTTTTTTTTTTTTTTTATGTATCCAGGTTTCAGTGAGGGCTAGTGTTTATAAATGACAAGGCAACTTTATTGATAGTGGACTGGTTCCACAGACTAACTGAGAATGAGGTACAAATGACTTGTTAAAGAGTCATTATACAATTTTAAACAAATTGATGTATTCTTCATGTTCAGATCAGACAGGTTTATACTGTTCAACAGCCCGTAATGTGCTTATGATACCGTCATAGCTTTGATATGCTGTGGTAAATGTTGCACGTGCCTCAGCAACTGCTTCTAGAAACAATAACATTGTCATGGGTTTGCTCGCTTTGCTTGTGTTATGGGAGCTTCAAAGGCCCACATTCAATCCGAATCCCCTTGAGTTAATGAACTAATGAAATCTAATGAGGCGTGCAGGGCGACTCTATTGTGGTGCAGCGAACGCACAAATTAATTTGCTTTTGGTTCATTTTGTGTCCAGCTTTGCTTTGTGGTGTTTTGGAGTCCCCATGTATCAGAGAAGATCCTGGTTGATGTCATTGGAGTGGATTTTAATTTCGCTGAGCTGTGTGTGGTCCCGCTCCGAATTTTCTCCTTTTTTCCCCTGCCAGGTAAGACACTCAATTAGATGTTTTTCAGCATTGCAGTCCAGCTGGATTTTCCTTCCTGCTGTGGCTTTTACCCGGGGCGTAGCTTGGACCAGTGGGGTGATGTTTCCACTTTGTGTGTGTGTGTTTGCAGTGACTGTTCGGGCTCATTTGACTGGATGGCTCATGACCCTGAAAAAGACCTTTGTGCTGGCCCCCAGCTCGGTTCTCCGCATCATTGTCCTCATCACCAGTCTAGTTGTTCTGCCTTATATGGGGTAAGTCAACACTTCAGAGAACACTGTCAGGGTCACAAGGTCAGCACTGTGACTCAGGCTTACTGTCATTCATTCATTCATTCATACAGTGTGTTATTCTGGTAAAATATGTCTGTTTTATGTTTTTTATATTCTGTTTTATTCCTGAAGATCAAACAGGAGGCGGGTTCACTTCCACACCAATAAAACTGTTACATAATTTAGAATAAAGGGCAGCTGCAACTGAAAACTTTATACAATCCTTTTGTATTTCAGGGTTCACGGGGCCACACTCGGGGTTGGATCCCTCCTGGCCGGTTTCATAGGGGAGTCGACAATGGTTGCCATAGCAGCCTGCTATGTTTATAGACAACAGGTGAGAACACCTAGGTTTAGGTCATTGCAAACGTGAGGGTACACACCTTATTCTGTGCTTTGTGCGAATCGCATCTGCAGCCATTTTGAATGAGGTGTGTCCCTCCATTATTTTGATCAACCTGTTTAGTTGAATAGGAATCCAGCTGAAAGAAATCCATTATGAATACATGCAAGAAAGAAGACCTCTAAAGCCTGTCTTTTTCTTTTCAAAGCAAAACATTCATGCAAACAAAAATAAAAACATTATTGTGCTGTGTGTCAAAGTTCGGGCAACCTGTGAGTTCTGCAGTCTTTTTACAAGGTCTCACACCCTCATCAGCTCGTTAGGCCTGAAGGTATGTCAATGTTTGTCATTTACATTGGAAGAGAAGTCAACCCTTTACAAATACTGACTCTTCAAACATTGTGTGAACACTCCTCAACCATCCTCTAAGCAGCTGTGTAAGACTGAAAATGAGAGTTATTGAAGTCCACGATGCAGGAGAAGGCTACAAAAAGAAAGCAGAGCGTGGTCAGCTTGCAGTTTCTACGTGGTCAGAGAGGACTGCTCGTATGCTGGTCAGAAAGGCAAATCAAAGAAGACAGAACCTTGCCTGCATCCACATCATAACATCAGAAGTATGCAACCTCTACAGAGGCCTGATGCATGTTAGAAACAAGTGCTGTGGACTGATGAAGTTTAAAATAGAAGTCTTGGGCCACAATCACCAAAGAGCTGTTTGGAGAAAAAAGGAGGGTGGATCTATCATATTTTATGGTTGTGTTGCAGCCAGTGGCACAGCAAACACTAGACGGGTGGAGGGAAGATTCCACTAAATACCAACAAATCCTGAAAGCAAACCTCACAGTAACTGTAAAAACAGCTGGAAAAAAAGGTTGCTTCTACAACAGGATAATGATCCTCAACATACCTCGAAATCCACATGAACTACTTCAAGAGTCCCTCACAGTCCCATGACATAAATATCATTGACAATCTGTCGGTAGATCCTAAAAGAGCTGTGCGTGCAAGAATATTACAGAACTAGGAGCCTTTTGCGAGGAAGAATGGGACAAAATCCCAGAAAACCTGGCAAACTGTGAGATCTGCCTGGAGAGGTTTACTAAGTACTGACAGTGGAGGTTGCCCAAACTGTCACACATGCCACAATTATGTTTTTATGTTATTTTTGTTCAATCTATGAAATGCATGAATGTTTGCCCTCGAAAGGCTGCATTTACATCTTTATAATGAAAAAAAACTAAAGCTAAAATTAGTATTGGTTAAGGGGTGGCCAAACGTTTGCATACAACTGTATCTACAGAGCTGGTGTGTTTGTCTTTATTATGGAAATTTGTATTTAAATGACAAAAAGGATGATATACAGTCACAGTTTGTATAATCGAGCCTTTACAGCTTTCTACTGTCTCACTGATTGTCAGGAAGCTTTGTTCGTTGAAAGAATAATCTGTTTGTCAAGTCTGATAATGTTGCCCAGTAGTCAGAACAATTACTTGTTACTGGCAGCATCTGTAATTCTTTTATTATATATTGTATATTACAGTCATATTAAAGAACAGCAAGTTGTGTGATGTTTCAAATTAGATTTTTCACTGTCAAAGGAATAGGTAGTTGACATTTTGGAAAATTCGCATTCTTGCTGAGAGTTAGATAAAAAAATGTGATACCATTTTCACATCTGTACAATATGAGGCTAAAGCTTACACAAAAAAAGAGGATATAGAATAACTATAGAAATAGTCAATGTTCTTGCTGATGGTCTCCTTTGCTTATGTAAGTCATATAAAGGCATCCAAATTAAATTGAAACCATTTCATACCAGTTAAAAGCACACAAAATTACAGATGTCCTGTCTGACTGAAGAGAAATGTGTCATTACCAATTAAGTTTATGGCATGTATCATTATTTTAACTGTTACATGTTTAAATTCGAAGAATGTGAGGTGGCAGTTTCTTTCAAATTTAAACATGAATCCTTTGTGCACTTACACAAAATCAGCGATGGAGAGGTCTCTCCCTCTCCTCTTGTGCCGTGTGCAGGCAGTCATTAGGTGAGGCACGTTTGACCTTCTCTCTCACCTTTTCTCTCCAGATCCCTGGATTAGAGACTTCCTTTAGCCTATATGTAAATAGTTAGTTCGAGCTTGTAAATATTTAAATAGTTTTTGTCTTCTCGCTCCCATTGTAAATATTTAAGAACATTTTTTAACTTAAAATATACGATGTCCCTGTAATGAGTTTGTAAATTATCTCTCTCCGTATATTGGTCAGAAACAGGTTAGCGTTTGCACTGCAGTGTACAGTGACGCATTTAGTGATCAAACAGTTAGAGATAAACAAACAGTAACTCAACCAATGGCTAAAAGAATAATGAAAACAGATTGCGGCAACTAGCAGAACTTCCATGGTGGACCAGAGTGAGTCAGTGAATGACAGGAGTTACCGAAACAAAGTTATTTAATTATATTCATTAGAGAGAATGAAAGAAACCCTTCAGTTCGGGGCAGCTGAAAGTAAAATTTGGGACAGTTGCAGGACACTGAGGAAAAAAGTAAATTTCCAGCCCTGAATGAGCTGCTTGTAGGCGTACTCTGTGACCTTTGGAGTCAGACTCGCTGATTCCACTTTTTTCCGGTATTTGTGCGAAGTTAACCGGCCTCTGCAGACGAGTGACAAATTAAATAAAAAACCTTGAAGGAATGTGCGGAGACGCTTTCGGTACACAAGGTTTGAGGAGAATGAAAATGATAATGAATCACCTGAACACATCTTATCTAAATCTCAGCAATAAAGTACACAATGTACTCCATCCAGTTTCTATCTTTCCACTAGGGGAATTCCCTTTTTCAGTGAGTGCACACAGAGCAGCAACCTTCTCAATCAGCACCCTGAATGCATCATATTAATCTGGCAGTTTACTGTAATCGCAGTTTGTAGCGAGTTGGTGCTAATAACCAGAAGCATAACCCAGCGAGGTTATCGGGTTCAGGTTGTTCTGCATGCTCCTAAATACTTCCATCTTCACGTGAGGACCGGATTACTCACTGTTTTACTGTGTTCATCTATTTTGCAGCTTATCGAGTATTAGATTAGCACAACAATCGTCTCAGTTGCAGTTTTTTGGCAGAGCCGGTTCTACTTTTCCTCCCTGACTTTTAAGGATTATGTGGTTTCAATTTCTTTCTTGTTCGCCGTCTCCCGCAGAAAAACAACGAGATGTCCAACGAGCTGGTGGTGGAGGGTGAGGACTCTGCCCCGATGAGCGAGGTGTGCTCCAGGACTCAGATGGACGCCATCGAGGAGCTCCAGGAGGAGGAGGAGGATGGTGGCCGAATGCGAACGGAGGGAAGGCGTGGAGAGGAAAGTCTCGACGGTGCTCCTTCTTCTCTGAAAGAGTTCAATAAAACTTTATTACAAACAAACAGTTTATCTGAGTATCTTTCACAATAAAAGTCTTCCTGTGTTTGTACCTTTGATGAAGACGCGGAAGGTGGCGTCTTTCATGCAGGCCAGACCCATCATCAGCTCATCATCAGAGGAGAACGCCACCAGGTCACCATCTTCATCTGAAACACATCATCATCATCATTGTTGTTGTTTACCTTTGTAGA